CCTGAGTGGTTCCAGCTGCGGTCACCCTGAACATGTGCTGCAGTCAGGCAGTGAAAGGGAGGGGGAGCAAGAGGAGCACTCGCTGGGAACAGGCCCCAAATGAGCCTGCCCCTTGTCTCACTTGCTAAAAGGGCTGCCCTGGGCCAGGCTCCCGAGACCAAGGGAGGGCCTGGCAGAGACGGTGAGGCCCTGGTGCAGCATGAACTCCTGGGATACAGAGGAATTATATTCTTAAGTGACTACAGAATTTAGCTAGTCCAGGAGGCCGGATCCACACTTGTCTAAGAGGATTCCTTTCCTTTCCAAGCCTCAGCTCCATTGATCCTCCTATTTATGGCTCTGCTTCAATTGGGCAGGCAATTCCAAGATAGCAGTCAGCTCATAAGCTGCTGTGCAGGGAGATGGGATGCGGGGTGGAGGTGGAGGCTGGGGAGAGCGCCTCTTGGCCACGACCATTCTGATAATGGTGCCCAGTGGCAGCTCGCTTAGGCTGGCAGTGTCCTCTTGGGCCTGGGGTGGAAGAAGGCAAAAGGAGGGATGTCATAGGAGGTGATGACAGCCCCACTGTTCACGTGAAGCCGATTTAGAGGGCTAGAGAGAGAGGAGCAAATCCAGGGGACAGGAACAGAAAGGGAGCCTCAGGGGCTTGTGGACCTGGTTGGAAAGTTTCACAGAAGCCAGTAAAGAAGAAGCTTTTGGCCCCAGCTTATGCCTTTGGCCTCTCTTCACCTGTCATCTCTCTCCAACATGTAGGAACAAGCTGGCACCACCTCAGAAACAGACAGGAAGACAGCGGGGGCCTATCTGCCACGTGGCAGGAGCCTGCAGAGAAAGAAATTGACGGGAGGAGCAAGCGGCCTCCTGTCCAGCCTGGCTGACTCAGTGTCCATTTCTAACCCTTCCTGAGCCTGCTGCCAGCCTCATTCCCATCTTCCATTTGTCCAATGCCCTGAGCCATGACTGCCTGCTACACGTGGGCTCTCAGCCACGCCCTGGATGTCTAAGGTGTGCCTCTCTCAAGGGGTTTTTGCCCGGTGTGGGGCACTCGCAGAGACTGTCCCCCCATGCCCAGGGCTCAGAGACCTTGGGACTTCCCACATGTGGCTTTTGAGAGCCCTGAGGTCAGGCCCAGCCGTCTCTCCCGCCTGGTCAGGGCCCTGCCCGTCACTGCCCCCCAGCAGCCTCCTCACTCACCACATACAGGTTGGCCCCTCTCAACAGGCCTTTCCTCTCTCTGTGACCTTTTGAAGTCCCACCATGTCTACGAAACCCCTGGGACAGACAGCAGAACCCAGAGGTTCAAGGTTGGACTTGGCTCTGCACTTGGGCAGCAGCATCTCTGCCATCCAGGCCTCCTCCCTCTGCTGGCAGCGCTTGCCAGCCTCCGCTGCACTTGACACTGGCTGCTCTTTTATGTGCTTCGTTTTCCCAGCTGGACCATCAAGTTCCTTAAGACACCTACGTTATTTGCTTTTCTGATTTCACATCTATTCATGGTGGGAAACGGAGAGAAACTATTACACTCCGAAGAGGAACTGAAGCCCCCGGAGTCCTCCTGAGACAGCCACTGAAAGCATCTTGGCTCACTCCCTCGCACCTCCTATGCATAGGTGTTTTCTTTTTCAGAACTTCAGATCATATTGTGAATTTGTGTCAGTTTCTTCACTCAGCACTACAAGGTGGACATTTCCCCACATTAGCAACTCTTTAAAAACGTTTTTAAATGTCTACTTAGCGCTCCAGCATCAGGACCACCATCGTTTATTCAATCAACACTTCTGTGAAGGGCGTCAGGCTGAGTCTTCACTTATGAGACCTGCGCTAGCACGCCCGGAGCTACACATTTGCCAACCACCAACTACCTTCCTTCCGCGCCGATTAAATGCATTTCCTCCCTTCTCCTAAGAAAGCCCATTTCCTGTGGATAAGATTTGTGGTGAAAATGGAACCAGTTATGATGCAGGTGCAGTGTCGTGGGCTTGTGGGCTGGCAGGCTGGCAGATGTGTGAGCCACGTTTCCCTCTCTCCCTGCGTCTGGTGTCAGTTCTGCCATCCTAGGGAGCACCTGGCAGCCCCCACTGCCCTGGCCCTGCCCCTCTAAATCAAAGGCCCTTTCTGTCTGCAAGCAAGAGAGTGTGGATAAAGTTCAAGTTGCCTGCCTGTCCAGCTCAATCACCACCTCACAGGAGGAAGAATAAGAGGGCATGGCACCTGGTGGCCAGGGCAGAGGTCTTCAATTTTCTGAAGGGCTTAAACATGTCCTATGTGGTCCCAAAACGTAAACCCGGGACCAAGAGACAGAAGCCAAAGGAAACAGATTTTGACTCAATATAAAGAACGCTCTACAGCAGCCAGCACAACGCAAAGAATGAATGGTGACTTCTTTACAAGGTAGTGAATTCCTTGTCACTAAAAATCTATCATGGCAGAGACTACCTGGAAGGGATTTGGGCAGAGAGGACGATCAGACCACATGACGCTACAGTCCCTTCCAGCCTGAGAGGGAGCTGTGTGATGTGCACAAACGCCCTGTACTTCTACGACAACTCGCGGGGGGCCCTATCACAGGAGATCCCACAGCAACACCTCGACCGTCAAACAGCCTCAGTATCCAGATGCTCCTCAGACACGTCCAGCCTGGCTTCCTGGAAGCTACTTATGCATCTTGTAGAACAGCCTCCAGGGCATTTCAGAACCAAGGGAAACATTGTAGCCTATTAGACACCTAATCACATGGGATCCATCACAGCTAATGTGATGTAAATTATCCACATGCAATGAGGGAATATTTCAATAACAGAAACGCTCCCCTTTCCAGGTTTCCTTCTTTTTTCCAGGCTGCTAAAACATAATTTGCCTGACAGCCCACCTGGTCATTCACACGTGGTTACTCAGGATGCTGTGCGCAGGAGGCCACTCTAGGTATCTGACGTTCCAGCTCAACCGAGGCGTGCTTGACGTTCCTTCTTGTACAGACTCCACCTGCCAGCACTGAGAGCCCCTGGAAGGACTGAGCTGCAGGCCGCCCTCAGTGAGGGTCCTTCCAGCATAGAAACAGACGCATCTTACAGACGCCCTGCCCTGTGCATGAAGCTTTGGCCCAAGGCCACACTTCCTCAAAGGCCTGCTCAGCTGCTCTCTGCTCCAGTCCTACGGAGTCTCGGGCTATTCAAGGGGTAGGAACCCTGTCCTTTCCAAAATCAGCAGAAGGAGGGGTGGCAAGCAACAGCTCAGCCTCTAGCATCTTGATGTACAGGGAGGAAACACCCTAAGACCACCCCCACTCGCCCATCTGACAGCCAGCCTGAGGAAGGGGTGAGCTGAGAGAGGGAAGGCCCCTCAACGCTCCGAGCCAGGGGCCAACCTGGGTCCCCATGCATGGCTTGAGCCCCCGCTCCGACCTGAGTTTGTCATCCTTCCCCGAGGAACATGGTGAGTCTGGAGTCAGGTCACAAGAACCATAAATATTTTAAAAGAACCATAAATATACTCAGTTTAACTTTTAAAAGAACCATAAATATACTCAGTTTAACTTTTAACAAGAAAAAAAATGCTATTTTAAAACTTAAGATTTCTAAAAGCTGAAAATTAACTGTCCCAAAGCTGGCTTGGGAAGGGTGCTCTGTTGCACATCACAGTATCTTTTGCCCTGGAGCTGGAGATGGCTCTGGGTGAGGTGGGCCCCTCCTGGAAGCCTCAGGCCAGCTCCTGGGCAGGCCACTATTCAGGAGGCCCCAAACACAACCTGAGAACAAAGCGCAGGTGGTGCGAGCTGCGTGCTGACTCTGCCCCCAGCCCTCAACTGAGGCAGCAGAGCGAGGCAGGCAGAGGAGACAGATCCCCTCAGAGCGAGTGGGTCTAACTCAACCAAGATGACTAAGACTAGAAGGTGATGTAAAGCACATAGGTGGCCACACCCCCATCCCTGTTTCCATAGAGAAGAAAGAGGCTGTGCAGCAGAGTGGCTGGAGCCGGATCTCCAGATCCAGAGCACTGGACGCACAGTTCCACCCTGCCAATGACTGACAGTGTGACCCTGAGCAAGTGACCTAGCCATGCTACCTCATTTCCTTCATCTGGGCAATGGAGATTAATACAAGTCCACATCCCAGGGCTGCTGGGAAGACTCAATGAGCTAATTCACGCAAACCACTAAGAACGGCGCCAAGCACATAGTAAGCACTAGTAAGAAGTGTCAGTGACCAGCACTGAGAAGTGTCAGCGATCATGATCATTAACTTCGGCTCAAATGCCTGCTCCTGGGGGCAGGCCCGGCCCACGCAGAGGCCTCAGGAAGGGCTTTCAAGAGAGGGACAGTGACGGGTACCCTGCTCAGAGCTACTTTTCTGAAATGACAGAGGGTGCACCAGATCCTAAGCCAGGGTCCTAACTGGGTCCCTATTCTGTAGGGATCCAGATGAAACACCCTGGTTTCTCTTTTCTTTTTATTTTTGGCCCTTTGTGTTTTGTGAGAGAGCTTCTCAAAGCAACCAGTCCTCCAAGCCATCAACTCAGCCTTTCCTCTGGGCCATCTCTGAGGCCACGGGTACATAAGGCTGTGTAACTCTGGACTCTACTCCAGGCTCTGGGCCTTGGCTGGGCAGGGAAGGGGTCTTTCTGCTGGAGGCAAGGCCCCTTGCTTCAGTGACAACTCACTTGAGATGAAGTTTTGAGAAATAAATAAACTCCTCGTACCCAGCCTTGATGGGTACACAGCCAGGGAGGGGACACAGGGCTGAATCAGGGACCCCCTTCTTGGGATGCAGATCTGCAAAGAGAGCTCCCTCCGGGGCCGTTTCTGGGGCAGAGGGAGAGGAAGAGTTTGGGAAGAAGGCACATATCATCGGCTGACTTCCTGGTGTCTGAGTGACCTCGGTGAGCTGTCCCCGGGGTTTGGGTCTACGTACTGTTGCAGACTCCTGTGGGGCCAGAGGGGAGGCCAGGGAAGCCTGTTTCCACCGAGCAGCACCCTGCCATTGAGGAGGCCTGCAACCACTTACCAGGAAGCGGACATCGTCAAAGCCATTCAGAAGCAACTTGCTCTCATACTGCTGCAGCCCAATCGACTCCAGCCACTCCCCGACACTCTGCTCCAGCGTCCGCGAACCTGACGAGAGAGGAATCGGCAGACGCTTGAAAAGGGAAAAACCATTAAGGCGGTAGCAGCGGCACTCAGAGGAAGACAGATGGCATTGCCACATCATAGTCATTACCATGAAACAGCCAAACTATATACAAGAGACCAGAGAGCAGCGGACACGCAGCTCCTCTTCTGTGTACAGCCAAGGACAGGACGACCTGGTGCTGTCCACACACTGCCCAGCCTCGGGCAGCTGCTGCCCACTCACACCCCCAGGTCTGAGCTGCTCCAGGGCCACGGCTGCACATGCACCATCTCTGCCCACAGGTCGGGGGTGGGGGAAGCCAACCCCCAACAGTCTCCAGGTCAACTCCTCATCAGCGTACGCGCTGAGACAGTTCAGAAAGTCTGTCCCCACAGGCACTAGAGGGGGCTGAGGGAGCTCCTAAGTGCCCACAAGCCCCGCCGCTCCTCTCATCCATGCAACTTCTGGAGCCCCTGCGGGGCTGTGGCGAGGGGCAAGTTCTGCGACCTTGCAGCACAAACCAGTCAGGAGAGAGCACACATCTTCATGCAGCTGAGGGACACAGGCACACAGCGAGGGCTCCGGGAGGGAAGCAGCAGCGGCGGCTGTTCACCGGAACCCAGCACATGCAACACAAGCAGCACAGAACACGGCAGGGGGAGAAAAGAGACTTTTACTTGTTTTCCCCCAGCAGTCCCGGAATAAGCAAACCATGGCCACCGGCCCTTTGTGCTCAGAGGCTCAAGGCAGCAAGGGGCTGAGTGGGGCACATGGGCCGGGGCTCGGGGGTCGGGCTCAGGTGTGGCTCTGTTGGGACGGCAGCATCGCATTCCGCCGGGCTGCGCGGCCAGTGGGCCAGGAGCCTGGTCCACAGCTAGACTCTGGCAGCTGGCGAGCAGGGCGTCTCCTGGGCCAGCACGCCGTCTGAAGTGCTGCTTTCTTGGGCTGGGCTGGCTTTCAGGGGCTGGGCATTCATTTTCCTCTTCTGATAGCAGCTGTTCCAGTGACTCACCTGCCTGCTCAGGTAGAAAGCAGGCAGGCAAATTCAGTTCTTGGGTAAAGAAGACAAAACCCAACCAGATAAAAGAGAGAAAAAGGAAGTGGTCCTCTGTCAGCTGAGCTGTGGTGGCTTAAGTCTATTCACGTCCTGCGCTGTTCTGTCTTTGGCGGAGTGATAAAGACGGCCACAGTCGTCCCAGGGTCTCCGGACCTTGGCGCTCTCCTCTAAGGATGAACAGGGAAGGGAGGACATCTATTTGCTCCTTGGTCAGGATGGGGATCGTGGTGGTGCAGGGAAGACAAAAGTTCAGCCCTTTCTGGCAGACCTTGGATGTTCTGAGCTGGATGCCTGAACCCCAACCTACTTCTCTGATTCTTGTGGGCAAGAACAGACGAAAGAAGGAAAAAAGAGAAAAGGAGGAAAAAGAGGTACAAGGAAGGAAAAAGAAGGACCAACTATAAAAACATCACCTCCAGTGAACTCCTGACACGGTGAAAGTCATTCTGCCGTTCCCAGTACTTTCTGCCCCTTGGGGCAGGACAATGCCAACTTCCTTGGTTATCTACAAGACCCTGGTGACCAACTGTGCCAGCCTCCACTCCCTCTCCTCTGTCTCCTGCAGAACAGATGGTGGTCAGGGACCCGGCGGCCTTCTGGATGCACGCTGCCGCAGCGCTCCAAGATGCTGAGTCTCGGGGATACTTGAGCTCCCCTGCCCTTGAATGGGGAAGTCTGCTCCAGGAGCCTACGTGGCGGGTTCTTGTATGCCCATGAAGTCAAGTGTCCCCGGGTGCTGATTCATTCTTGCTTGTAATCCCCCAGCCGGGCAGCTGTGGTCCTGCCTGCTGCCGGTGGATGTGTGCGCTGACAGAGCCGCAGCAGAATGCTTTGTCTAAAGGCTCCTGGGCTCCACGCTGCCTGCTGCTGGCTCCACAGTCCTTGCTCACTCTCGTAATGTCTGGCCCTCCCCTTCCTCCCCTCCTCACCCTCCCCCTTCCAAGCTCAGGAAAATACATCAGGGATCGGACATCACATCGGAGCAGAAGCGCCTGCTGCTGTGGCTGCTGAGGGAGAAGGAGACAGCAGCACTAGCATCAGAGCGAAATGACAGATTTCCCAATAGCCGATGTTGGCTGCACAAATGCATATGAAGGGCGGAGATGTGAAACTTTACCTCCAGCTCCAGGGGCTGGAAACAGCCTGTCAGGAAGAATAGAGAGGGACTGCTCCTAGAGCTTTGTTCGACAGTTTCCAGGACAGCCAGGAGAGGACAGAAGAATGACCAGACCCAAAGGGCATAGCCCACAGGTAAGTGACCCCCCCACTTGCCACAGTAGGAATGACTGTGCTTCTTATAAAAACAGGCAATAAGGCCGTTACACTTGATGTTCCTCAGGTGAGTATACCAAACCAATTGGGGACAGATTTCTCTTGGGGTCTGTTAGAGCCCAGGGGAAGTGCTCCATTCCCACAGCAGGCCACTCACACTCTGGGGGAGAAGAGCAATGGCCAAGGGCAAGGGGGAAACCAGGGCCAAATCCCAAGTACAGACGCAGACAGGCAAAAAGATAAAACAGGTACAGGGACACAAGTCCAGGGGTCACCCTCTAAATATGCTGGGAGATACTGGTATCCCAACAGGCTATAGATGAGCCCTGGCAAAGAGAGGGTTCTCATCAGGCCCCGGAAGGATCCTGCTTGACCAGCTACTCAACACCTAACACAGCTGGCTTTATCAGAAGACAGCCAAGCAAGTTCCCTTCTGCTTGACGGAGAAGGCCTTTGTTGACAGAGCCAGAGTGGCGTTGGCCAGTGGGGAGGCATACCCTCCTGGACTCCTGAGAATGGGAGTTGGCACAGGGATGAGTTAGCTGCAAACGCTTCTGTTGGGGATTCAGATAACTAGCTCCAGTGGTGGCAGCCCAGGGGCCTGTGGCCCTAAAACAGGACTGAGACTCCAATGCTGCGGTCGTGCCCTTCGGCTGGGGGTGCGGGCGCCTCTGCAAAACCAGTGGCGCTAAGCAATCCTACACTTTGTGCAGGGCTGCCTCCTGGAGGGCCTGCTCCTCCTCTACCCAGGCTAACCCCAGAGCCCAGATCTTTTCTCCCTGATCCTGACGCCCAACCCAAGGACAATCCGAACCCTGATACTGACCAGTCAAAATAAACAGTGATTCCGTTTTGGTCCGAGCCGAAGGCGGTATTCCCTGAGATCCTGGGGAAAGCCCCCTCCAGACCCATCAGACAGGATTCCCGGGCAGGCCTGGGCCCATCCTCTCCATGCTTCAGCACCTGGCAGTGGTGCAGACACAGCAGCCTGGGGCTCTGCAGCCCGAGCGGATGAACCCTCTGTTTAGGTGGTCCCCCACAGGTGCCTGTTCTTGACTTTTCCAAGCTGGACTACAGAGGATGGTTCAAGAAAATGAGGACTAAAACAAGACTGTGTGCTGGGATCCAAAAACCCAAGGGTAGAGACAGACTGCCTCTCTACACTCATATGGGTTCATGGGGGACAAAAACTGGTAGGCGGGCTAGGCGCAATGGCTCACGCCTGTAATCCCAGCACTTTGGGAGGCTGAGGTGGGCGGATCACAAGGTCAGGAGATCAAGACCATCCTAACTAACATGGTGAGACCCCGTCTCTACCAAAAATACAAAAAATTAGCCGGGCGTGGCGTGGTGGAGGGCGCCTATAGTCCTAGCTATTCAGGAGGCTGAGGCAGCAGAATGGTGTGAAGCCGGGAGGCGGAGCTTGCAGTGAGTGGAGATCACACCACTGCACTCCAGCCTGAGCAACAGAGTGAGACTCCGTCTCAAAAAACAACAAAACAAAACAAAACAAAACAAGAAAACTGGCTGGTGGGATCAGACAGAAGACCAGATGTCAAGGGAAGAGCTCAGCATTAACCCTTCCAAGGGGAGGGCTCTTCCCAAGGTGCTGCCACATCTCCCGACTTATCAAATCCAAGAAGCAATGGCTGTTTCTGACTCAGTTCTCAAGCGCATGCAAGCGATTTTGGCTCCTGCTCCTTGGACACAGAAAGTAGAAAGCATCCTCAATGGAACTAACTGTTATCCCTCCCATCCCTGTTGTCAAAGCACAGCTTTGAAATGGTAATAGTGTTTGTCTCAGTCCTGAACATCCATTTCCTGCAAACACTGGACCCTTGGAAAAGCCTACAAACTACAACAGAGTGTGAGATGGCTTGACTGAGTTGTAAGCAACAGATCCTGAAAACAGATCCACAGATTTAGCCAGGAAAGCCACCTCTGCAGACTCCAGCGTAATCCAAGACTGACAAAAACAGACCAAGCTCAGCTCAGCCCTCTCTGCTAGCACCCAGGGAAACATTGCTGCTGGAGGGATGGTGGCTCTGGGAACCAGGACTGAAAACTGTGGAGGGAGGCCAGCCAGCGAGCAGAAGCCTCTGTTCTCTAGGTTTCTCGATATGAGTAAGTAATGATTTCATGGACAAAAGGAACACAGGGCCGGGCGTGGTGGCTCACGCCTGTAATCCCAGCACTTTGGGAGGCCTAGGCGGGCAGATCACGAGGTCAGGAGTTCGAGACCAGCCTGACCAACATGGTGAAACCCCGTCTCTACTAAAAATACAAAAATTAGCCAGGTGTGGTGTTACATGCCTGTAATCCCAGCTACTTAGGAGGTTGAAGCAGGAGAATCGCTTGAACCCGGGAGGCGGAAGTTGCAGTGAGCCAAGATTGTCATTGCACTCCAGCCTGGGTGACAGAGTGAGCGAGACTCCGTCTCAAAAAAAAAAAAAAGAAAAAAAAAGGAACATCTTTTAACTGAAGTATTTGTATCTACTACTCATTCACAGCAAACCTGTGAGGTTGACACTATTATCCAAAGGTTGCAGATATGGGGTGAGGGGTGCAGAGACATTAAGTGACTTGCCAAGACACGTATGTCTCTAGAGCCAAGATTTGAACCCAGGACTGTGAGGCTCCAGAGCCCAGGCCATCCCCACCAGGCCCCACGGTCTATGATGCTCCTTTCTCCCTGATGTGCACACTCAAGCCCACCCATCAGACTTCCTGCCCAGGGCCACAGAAGCCCATGAAGGAACCAGAGGTGTCACTTGAGACTGACAGGTCAATCCTGGATGGAGCCTCCCGAGTGAGCAAGAATTTCCACCCCTTCAGTGCAGAGAGGCATTTCCATGAAGGTGAAGACAGGCCAGGCTCCCGGCTGGGCTGCTTTCAGCCTGGATGCCCGCGTGCCCGAACCATCCTCGAATGCTTGGGGGAAGAGGTGTGAGACCTGCTCTGAGAGGCACGTTCAAGAGCATCTCACCTGAGAAAGCAACACAGTACAATCCTATTATCAGATAAAACAGCTCAGATGGCCTCCCCGTTCCATGCTTCAAACAAAGAAAACAGAAGCTGACCTCACTACTAGGGCTTAGAAAAGAATGACCAAAGTAGCAGTGATACAGCGTAAGAATGGTAAGTGACGAAGTAAACTGAGTCAGGCACAAGGAGCTGTGGGAAGAGGAAACAGCACAGTCACCCTCCCAGGCAATTCACATGCATGCTACGAGTCTGAGACCCCGGTCTAACCCAGTGCTCTGCCACCATCACGGATGAGACCCTTGAGAGCCATCTCGGAAGCTGCAGAGACCAACGCTGAGGTGCACTCCGATTTAGGCGCATCTAAGAAAGTCCATAAAATAATGAATAAGTGACGATTGTTGATCTAAACATTTTTCCTAACAGGCAGCTTAAAATTCATTTTGTACCCTTTCCCCTCCCATAGGTAAAAGGAGCCACGGCTCTAAAAATAACAGCAAGATGGGGCTGTCTAGGTATTGGGGACTGTGAATTACATGACGTGGTCTGAAGCTGACCTCTCCCACCCGCTGAACATCTGTCTTCTGTGTGAGAGGCAGGCCTGAGCCAGAAAGGAGCCAGACTGCCGGGTCTGTGGGGAAATGGCCACTTGGTACGGTACCTGAGATCTTCTGCCGCTCCTGAGAAAAGTCAATCCCTTCTCCAATAGAACTCATGATTTTCTCAATCTGCAATGGAAGAAAGAGCAAAGAGGAGAGGTAGTCAGGCTCGGGGTAAACGTTGCCAGCTCACCACAGTGCCAGTGGGGGCTGACCTCCAGGTCTCTTTCACATGCTTCCCAGCACCAGCCCCAGCCTGCAAGGTATCAGGACTCTCTGCTGCTCAGGTCTAAGACAGGCCTTCTCCAGCCCCAGCCCACAAGGTCTGAAGTACTGCTCTGAAGGGAGTGTGACGGTGACAGTCTGGGCTTATTAGCTGCTAGAAACACCGAAGAGCCTCTCCTCCAAGGCATCTCTATTTCATTCCCCAGCAGTTCTCCCAGACCAGCAGAGACTGGGGAGAGGCCGCAATCACAGGCCAGGCCTGACCATTTCATAGCTCACGCTAACATTTCAATTCCATGAGAGTGGAGACTTTCCATGCTACCCTGAGTGCCCAGGGTAGTGCCTGGCAAGTCATCAGCATTCACCAGATAACTGACACTGTATGACCACAAGCTCTGGGGAGTGAGGATGATTTCCAGAGCGCCCGCACACAGAAACCGCTGAGAAGGAAAGACGAGGCAGGCACTGATGCCCAAACAGAAGACCTTTTGCTTCTTGGAGGCCAGCAGTCCTGGATGGAACGCTGCGTTCAGGGGATGCGATGGGGCACAGACACCTGTCCCTCTTCTGGACCACATCAGAGAAAGCTAGTCTCAAAGCATCCAGTGGCTCTAGCACTGCCCCCAGTATGGACCACCTGTCCCAGCCATCTGGCCTTGGTCACTCTGGACCAGATCCAGCCCCCTTCCCCAGGAAACCTGGCCAGGGGCAGAACTAGGCAGTGGGGTGCAGCCACCTTCTCTTCTTCCCCTCCTCCTCCTTTTTGGGTTGCAGTGATAATGAGCTCATTCACTGCTCTTTTTCCAAAGAAATGAGAAAGAGGACCTTTTGTACCAGGGCTTGGATGCTCTTTCCTCTAAGTGCAAGTAAGGAGCCTGGGTCAGACAATCGGAAAAACAATTCTCTAGCCAGCCGGCTGGCAGACAAAGCCGTGCATCTGACACCCAGCAGAAGAGCAGAGAGCAAGCACCACCTCTCCTCGGGCAGCTGGGGGTTCGGGAAGGTATCTTCCTCCAGCCACAGAAGTGACTGCTGGCTCAGGCTGTCACCTGACCGTTGTTAACCAGACTGCAAGCTCCTTCCCCGAGCACAGCAAGGCAGAGGGAAACAAATCTGACCCCAGGAGCAAACTGAGGCTGCGTCTCTAAGCACTGGAACCAGCAGCCCAGAAGCACGGGAGGGACAGTGGCAGAGCAGGTTGGCTCTGCCCCTTGAAGAAAACGCCTCCCTCCACCCCCATCACTTTCTTTGGCCCTGTTTCAAGTGCTGCCTCCTTCAGCAGGGGCAGCATGATACAAGGGAAACTCCCCAGACCTCCCAAAGCGTCCATTTATTGTTATTTTTATTATTCATTTTTTTTAATAGAGAAGAGGTCGCGGCCTGCTCACTGTATGCATTTGGAGCGAACGGCACAGAGGAGATCGAACTGCTAACGGAACGTCTACAAAAAAAAAAATAGGGGGGGGGGGTTGTGTCAGCACTCGGGAGGTGAGGAGGAGAATGGATAACCGGAGGGGTGCAGTGGTGAGGTCGGCCACTGACTAGCCTGGTGACAGAGACTGCCAAAAAAAAAAAAAAAAAAAAAAAAAAAGAGAAGAGGTCTTGTTATGTTGCCCAAGCTGCTCTTGAACTCCTCGACTCAAGTGATCCTCCCACTTTAGCCTCCTGAATAGCTAAGATGACAGGTAGGTGCCACCATGCCTTATTATTTTTAATTTTTTAATTTTAATTTTGTTTTTTGAGGCAGGGTCTTGCTCTATTGCCCAGGCTGGAGTGCAGTCATGTGATCACGGCTCACTGCAACCTTGACCTCCTGGGCTCAATTGATCCACCCACCTCAGCCTCCCTAATAGCTAGGACTACAGGCATGCAACACCATACCTGGCTAATCTTTTGTTATTTTTTTGCAAAGGCGGGGTTTCGTCATGTTGTCCAGGCTGGTCTCAAATTCTTGGACTCAAGTGCTGCGCACCCTGGCCTCCCAAAGTGCTAGGATTATAGGCATGAGCCACTGTACCTGGCTATTTTTTCTTTTTTGTAGAGATAGGGTCTCACTATGTTGCCCGGGCAGGTTTCAAAATCCTGGGCTCAAGTGATCTTCCTGCTTTGGCCTCCCAAAGTGCTGGGACTACAGGCGTGAGCCACCGTACCTGGCAAGCTTCCATTTAAAATAGATAAAAATGAGGATGATACTGCCTTTGTCCAGGGTTGTATGGATTAAAGGCATCATGTACATAAAGCACTTGGCTGAAGGTCTAGCTCACAGTAAATGCTCAATAAAAGGTTAGTTTGTTTCCACTTCTCCTCTGTTGTCCTGTGAGTGCTCCAGCCCAGTAAAACCTATTTTTAAAGTTGTAAAAATATTTTTACTTACACTTATTTTTTGATACATTCACATGATTCAAAATTCAAAAGATACAAAATGTTATTCAGAGAAAAGTCTCCCTTACCCATCTCCCAGTTGCCTCT